GCTCTTCCAGCGCATTGTACCACCTGTGTTGAGTTTTGCACTAGGAAGCCTGGGTTTCTTGACCAAATTTGACTTCGAGGACTACCAGCAGACACTCTTAACGGCCTTCACCAAAGGCGTTACAGTTAGCCTGAGGCTTCGTTTCGAAGGCACAGTCATGAGAAGCCAGCCACGCAAGAGAGCTCAGCTTGGTAAGGGCTCTGAGGAGGACGAGGAGCAGTCCCGAGACTTGGTGGAGGAGCTTATAGGTGAGGAGAGGGAAGATGAGCACACGCATCGGCCGGATGGGACGTTTGAGATTCTGAATGAGGTGGTAGTGGACAGAGGGCCAAACCCAAGTGAGAATCCCAGAGTAAACGTTACCCGTGCAGGAGATGTTCTAATGTATATTCTAGCAATGTCAACTACCGAGATTTTTGGTGACGATGAGCACTTCACCTCAGTCTTGGCCGACGGTATTTGCGTATCGACACCCACAGGCTCAACGGCATACAATCTCGCAGCCGGAGGCTCCTTGTGCCACCCCGAGAACCCCGTGATGCTGGTTACGTCTATATGCGCGCACACCCTGTCGTTCAGGCCTATCATCCTTCCCGACACGATTGTGCTACGGGTCGGTGTTCCTTATAGCGCCAGAACGGCTTCATGGGCGAGCTTCGATGGCCGAGAACGTGTCGAGCTCAAGCCAGGAGATTACGTGACCATCAGCGCCAGTAGATTTCCATTTGCCTCTGTGCAAGCCGAGGGACGGAGGAGCGAAGACTGGGTGAACAGCATCAGTGGAAAGTTGGGATGGAACACTAGACAAAAGCAGAAGAGCTATAAGGAATGGGAGAAATAAGATAATGTGTAACGATTTAGTATGGACTGGGATCATATTTGTGAAGGCTGGCGTTTCGATGGCGGATTTTAAGGGCTGCCATTCTCATTGTACTATTTGAGGTAAAGAAACACGTCTCGTCGTTATCGTTAAGGGTACTATGCTTGTGTAAATATGCACTCTTTCAGAAAGGTTTCGGGTTGCTTAGCTAGACGTAGCACAAGGGCTTCGCTACCGGTGAATCTATACAGTAACGAATTCAATGAGATGCATCACCATTACCGAGTGAAGTGAGTAACAACAGTCACATAATTATTACTCAGGCGATAGAGGACAAATAATGTTGAGGAACTGACGATGGCCTGACTGTAAGCTTTACGGTTCTTGCGACGATATTATCCTGACCTTCAGGATATATGAGATGATCTAGATCTAAGCTTCGGGTATCTAGGCTTGAAAGAAACTCTTCACAAGAGGCTCTGCATGACTGTTCTGTGCTCATATCCATTATCTCAGTGCCCAAACTGGGCTTTGCGTTCTGCATCCATATCATTGCAGTTTAATAACACTGCATACACAAGGGGATGCAATAAAACTTAGGACCTCTATCCTGGGTGATAAAAGGCATTAGATAAACGTAGGTAAACTTGATATAATTTAGTATAGATTTAGAGTATCTTGGATTAACTATTTTTAGTATCTTAATTTAATATCAGAAGTCTTCTTACAGCCTGGGGGTATAGAATGCAAATATAAAATGACTTTGTAACCTGTGACATCTTGGTATCTAGAGCATCTTCTTACCTTGGCGCAGATTCAAGGCATTTGAGATGTCCTTGACTGAGTACCAAATAATCCAAAGTGGAATCCAGACCCATAGAGTGTTGAAGAAGAATAAGTAAACCCAAAGGTACACGAAGTTGCTCGTGTCGAGATTGGCACTTCCAATGAGCCATTCAGGACAGAAAGTCATGAAACCTGAGCGTTGTTTAGTTTGGCGAATCCATATAAATTGAGGTGCTGCCGAGACTTACCGCCGTACAGCTCACAAGTAGCCAGGACAATCATCCAGATGCTGACCTTAGGATCCTTCTTAGCGAGGCAGTAGCACACATAAACAGCTAAAGGCCCATCAAAGAACACAGTCAACAACTCCAAACTCACAACCCCCAAGTCGACACCAGCCCATCTCTTGTCAGCCCTCGCATATACCATCCATAGCTGGGCAAACGGATTATCTCCACCTGACTGCGCACCGTATACTCGATCGCTATAGCCTAGGAATCCAGGAGGTGTTGGGAACAGGTCTGTCTTCACATCATCGACGAGGGGCTGGTGCGAGAAGAAGCAGTGGTACAAAAAGCTGCCTTCAAGGAGAAAATGACACAGGGCATCGGCTAGGTGCCATATGAAAAGAAACCGGAGAACCCCCGAGGAAGATGATGGTAGGAAACGCAAAGAGGCAGCATACGCGACGAAGACGATTGCGAGCGTCGAGAAGAGGGAGATGATTGTTGTTTGGTCGAAAAGGTCGGGCGGGAGGGACGATGAGGGTTCTGTGGCCATTGCGTCGAAACTCAGTGCTGAATTTCTTTTAATCAATTGGATTGAAGCGTAAAAAGTCCAGTTGTTGAGTTACAGCTGCAATTGAGTTGTTGTTAAGGAAATCTGAGCTTACAGAGAGGAGCGGTGTCGGAAATGAGACGCGGTTGCGGCTCGTTTCGGTGATAGCTTCACGCGATAGCCTCAAGCTGTGGAGTCTTGATATTCAGTGAGTTATCACCCTACGGAGTAGATAGGGGACCTTGACCATGAAGGGTAAAAATGTTTAGGTAAATTTAGCTTAAACTTAGGGGGCTCTTTGCTAAGTTCATTTTGGCATCCTTCATAAGTTAACATGTCGTCTTCTGCCTAGGCTCTAATACTTCGTACTTCTGTGATCGCTGTATTGAAACATGGTTTTGACAATTGGGTCTTTGTTATATTGTAAGAAATTGTCGTTCTGCGTCCACGTTGGTCACATTCTGTATCATCCATGTAACAAATGCACCCCAGTGCTCCATAACTCAACATATTTATGTTGAACGCGGCGAACACTTTAACGCCGCTCAGGAATTATCTCCAGGTGTATAACAAGAGCAGAAAAAACACCACCTCACACCTGAAGGCTATAGTACAAATGTGATCTGAGCATCGTGGCGCAGGCGGGACAATTTGTAAGGACCTTCAAACGCTGGTGTCAAGATTTGTGAAGTATGCATTATGTTGGGTGCCCTTGATTTCGAAAGGAATAAACATTGGACGATTACTTGATACATACTCCTCGACCTTGTGAGGACGGATAGACAGAGTCCCATGAGATGGGACCAACTATGGCGGACATGACTGAGAGGACGGCTGATTTATTCCCGGGCTCTTATGTAATTTTAACAGCAAGTATTGGTGACGAGATCAAAAAATAGCTCACTGCTGTCTTTTTCTGGCACGGCACATATTTGCATGGATGTGTGATTGAGTCGTCAAGCGCGTTGACACAAGTGTTTCCTAACTATCAAGGTTCGGGTTTCCCACCAGCATTAATTACCTATATGGTAGGGGAGAAATGGTTGTAATCCTAACAGGACGGCAGTGCAAAGTCTCGGCACACCAGATTGTGCAAGATTTACAGATGTACCATAATCTCGAAACCTGCTACAATTCTACATAAACAAGTTGTTATCTGCATCCCTCGCTTACACCCAATCCATCCAGCTAGGGCTAGTTTTTGTTTCCGCTATCCATGGTGATTCATATTACAGATTGTGTCATTCTCGCCAGAAATATGGGCTCAAACGGATGTTCCCACGTACTGTAATCGTACTAATACAAAGAGCTCTTTGCGGTTTTGTAAGCCCCTTGAAAAACGAAAACATCCCTGAGTGGCTAGCGTAGTATCGAGAAATAAACAGCCACCAAAAGGCTGTTGTGGCACATCAGAAAACCAGAATTGCAAGCATACAAGGTTGGTAGCGGAGGCATTGCTCCGTCAAAAAGGACCACGAGGGGAGAGATCTCGATGGACAACACAGCAGATAGTGAAGGTCACCAATCAGCCCCAGAAAGCAGAAATGCAGGCGTCGGGCGTAAATGTGTTTTACCCGCCTCGGGCGGAGTCGGTCGCAAGCAGGCAAGTTGAAGAATAAGATGCCCGATTTGAGGAAGCACAAAATAATGAGTGCAGTGTGAGGCAACTACAGTAGTACCCTACGGATAAGCGTTAATTGAAATGCATGTCCACATAACGTCATCGTTGGTAGGTAGCTCTGGCCACGTCACCGCCACAATCTATGCTACCCCGCTGTGTGGCGGCGCCGTTAAACCCGGAAGCGGGGCAGATCTGACCCATCGTGTTACACGATATCACGGGAAGTGGGTCCGCTGCTTAAAGAAGAAATACCTTCAAAGAGCTTTGAAATGACATCAAACTCTAGAGAGTCTTTGTAACAGAGGCGAATTTTAAGCCGCAAGGGACCGAGGTCGATCATGTGTCAGTAAGTATCCAGGTGTCTCACCTAGGGATTATCGTACATACACAGGGCACCATCCTTGTTGAACACCCAACCGGTACCCCGCGACGCGCATTATGCGTATACAGACCAGTCTCCTCTTCTACCCCCACCAAATAAAACAAGTCCCAGATCCTTTGATCAAGATGACGTTCCGGTGATGACCTGACGTCAGGAATGTCTTTCGAGCAACCATCACAAGCCAAACGCCCGAGCTTGCTTGCTATCTTACTTTCAAGTGGTCGAGTAAAACAGAGCATTGCTGGGGTACAACCGATTGTTTCCCACTTATCAGTAACAGTAACGTATCAAGCCATCTAGGCAACGCAGGACTCCTATGTAGAAGCTAGTCAATGACGACACTTTTTCCCTTCACATGACAGTCCACGATAACTGGACAGGAGGGGAGCATACCAAACTCGAGGACTTGTACGCTAAACAAGTAGTCAACACTCGATGACGACGGATACACGGGTAAAACTGAATCTACGGAGTATATAAACCCCCATTCTCCTCCTCAGTCCATTCCATTCCCTTTCCCCATCATCACACACAACTTCAACAAATCATCAACTTCAGCATTCACCAACTTAATCATCTTCTCTTTTTTACGAGAATAATCAAATCAATTCACAATGGATTCCATCAAGAACACTGTCAACCAAGCTACTGAGAAGGTAAGAATTCACCATATATTCCGCCGTGCTGCTGAGTTCATTGCTAACATCATACTAGGTCCAGGAGGGTCTCTCTGGCACCAGCAAGGAGGCTAACAAGGAGGTAAGTCCATGGAAAACACGTAGCTTTGCTCAGAACGTATGACTGATCAACTTCAAGGTTGCCAAGGATTCAAACGCTGGCATTGGCACTCGGTACGTTAATACACGATCCTCGAACACATATGATGCTCGAACATACACTATCCTCGAACTATTTTGAATTATCTAACTTGCCTTTTCTTCAGTGCTTCGGCGGCTAAAGATGCTGCGTCCGAGAAGATGGACGAGACGAAACATTCCGCTAAGGCCGAGGGTTACTCTGCTCAAAAGTGAGCTCGGTTCCAGCGTTGAGAAGAACTAGGATGTTGTTCAATGCCTCACGATTTCAGCATATATGCAAGACTTAGTCATATTATAGCTTAAAGAGATGTTATGCTCAAATCTGTTGTCCTTTTAATGTGTTGTCTTTCATATTCTACTGTATCCGTGTGCAAAGACAAAGTCAATTTCGCAAATCTTGTTGAAGCCCACAAAGAATCTAAAAAGCAATATCAGATAATGACCAGATTTCGAAAATTAAACATTAGCAACAAGAGAGGAATAATTTTGTGCTTGCAACTCATAAGTCGATACAAAAATATATACTAACCTATCTTACTTTAACAAGATTCCTGACATTAGTGAAGATCATGCCATGGATTATCGATTAACACCTGAAGTCTCAGTAACATAGCATCAAAAAACAGTCCAGTGGAAACACATACATGTATCCAATTTGATGGCATACCCGATATATCTATACATATCACAAAATACTTTAACAAGGGCAGAATAGTCTCAAAGTCTAGCCATAAGTGCAAGTCGGTGGAGCAACTTCAAGATGTCATTGGCGATTCAATAGACCTTCAAGGATGAATTTAAATCTGGGGAATTCTTCTAGACAACCTGCTTTCGATCACAGGGCGCATTCATAGAGCACAGTGGGTGTCCACCTAGAGCAGACAAAGAAGAGGGGTAACAGACAAAGCGATGCGGTTGACGAGACCAAGAGTCTTGAGTACGAGGAACTCAAAGATGGTTGAATGAAGCCGGGTGGTTTCACACACTCAACCACGACTTGTGACGCATCCAGTGTCCCGAAATCGATCCTCGTGAACTCAGCGACTACTTAATTGTAGTCCCGACTAGCCTACATATGACAACGGGTAAAATAACAACACCAGCGCCATCCGTTCCAACAGGAAAGGTCCGTCACTATCTATAAGATGCGGACCCATTACGGCCACCGCGTCATTAAGTTACATGAACAGTCTGCCTGGACTGATACACCAGCGATAGCTGAATACTTGTATCAAGACAAGATGTACGCGCTGACTGCCACGATTGGCAATCCTCGGGGAACAGGAAAACATCAAATAAGTAAAACAGATAGATGAGTTCCCCCCGAATTATTTCTGGCTCACTAAGGGGCCTGTAACCGAGAAGACCTCCTGGATGCTGCCAACATGGCAAACGAGGTTCCGATTCCTTTCCTGGATCAGCAACAGCCGACCAGTCACTTGCCAGTTCTTAAAGGTAAAACTCCTCAGTGTGGCCGACAAACCTCAACTTATTCGAGGCTCAGTTCAACCTCGTAGATACTTTCTGTTTTTCGCATTAGATAGGATTTGTATGTAGCCGGAAGAGGCGGTCGAGTGAATCACTATACCACGTCAAAGGAGTCAACGTATATTGTAACACTTAAGCACCGCAAGAATAGGAACGACTGTATGAGAATGCCTCGCATACTCAGGCTACGTTCCCTAGAGGATTCGTTTTCCTTTTCGCTTCCATTCATGGTCATGATCAATATCCAGCCGAACCAGTGGGAGAGATGTGCCATGTTGCCGAACAGCATGTCATATTACATAGGCACGTAAGCCAAGGATCACCACCGTGAGTGGCCTGAGGTGCTTAAGTGTATCCCACGAACATGACACTTGATTATCTTCGAGGTCCTGTTTGCATATCCGACGACGACAAAACAAATCAACCGACATTCAATCAATATTGAAAGTATAACTGTTAGCTATCAGTTCTACTCCAAGGAAACTGGCTCGGATTTGACAAGATAGTATGATAAAACACAGCAGTTGCAACAACAAGAAATTAGGAAACTATATAGAAATAATCCAGTAAACCGAAACAGCGAATAATGCCACACCGATAACTATCACTCTGGAGAGCTTCACAGGTGTTCCGTGGCTAGGTCGCCCCGAAGCCATTCCATCGATTTGGAGGCAAGGCCGGTTACTTGTGCTATCCTCTTGCATCCATTGTTCGACTTCTGGCCTCTACTCGGTGTCGCTCCCTTGCATTATCGAGAACCAGACCTCAACTTGATCGTCTATGAGCAGACAATAGCCGACGGGTTTGACGGCACTGCTCAAATGAGAAACACTGGAGATTCTACAGCCGCCTTTCCAGACGCTTATACGACTACCAGCACCGTCGACGGAATCTTTATATATGCCTGTTTTTCGCGGTCAATATAGACCGGGAAGAAGGAAAAGAGAGAAAAATGCCGAGCTAGTCAGCGCCATGGAGGAGTCAGGAGGACGATAAACGGGTAAGCAGAGAGTAAGGTGTCTTACTGGTGGTGGTCCAGAACTATATGAACTATAACCACGTACGGGTACACCTGCGCAAGAAGATGTTACTATTGAAAACGCAGCCCCCTAAGTTAAGGTTCTCGGACAGTTTACCCATATCCAAGCTGATAGTAGCTACACCTAATAGCAAAGTCCTGACTGCCTCGCGTCCTCAACTTTACAAGATACAAGGTTTAGGGTAGGCAGGAAAACGCGAGACCTCTATCCTACCTACCTACCTAAGTAAAGAAAATGTTTAGGCAAGCTTAGTGTATCTCAGGAGGTCTTTAGACCAGTGCTTTTAGTATATCATCTTGATACTAGGAGTTTTGTAATCCTCGACGGGTATTTTCTTTCACCAGCGATAGCACATATATATACTTAGTACTATCTACGTGCGCATGAGTGACGAAATATATGTGGAACTCCCAACTACCTCGGACCCCTCCCATACGTTGGAACTGTTGGAACTACTTACACCACCAGCACTAACAAAGTGATATACAACATAACGCCAACGTCAAGTGACAGAGTCTGCCTCACGCCTGAGCCGACACAAGTTAGGTGGTCGGCATTGCTTGCCCAGTTTATGTTGCAACAAGCAAGCACGGCACTGGACATCATGAAACATCTCATTGCCGTAGGGGCTTGTTACCTGGATACGATCCTCACGAACGTCACCTCTACTGCGTGCACACATGGTATTCACTAACTCACCTCCAGTGTTCCCTTCTTCCCATCCGAAGACTCCAAGCTACGTGCCACCAGTCTCAATATCCGACGTGGAGGCAACTGTCCCAACTCTCTTCAGGTCTTAGAACAATTACTCTCCGAGCACGACACCCTCCAGCTACATCTAGTATCACCCCTTCCCGCTGCAGCCTCGTCCGCAACACAGCGTGTTATATCGTCGTTCGGTGCGCAGTCGAGCATTGACTTCAGCCACTGCATTTATCGCGAGGAGCGTACGGAGGCGGCAAGCAGTTACATCATGCGTAGCGAGGCATCAGGTAGTCGCACGCTTGTCAACTACAATGACTTATTAGAAATGACCCAAGACGAGTTTGGCAACATTGCGCGAGGCTTCAACCCGGACCAGGAGACATGGTGGCACTTTGAGGTAGGATGCAGACGTCGTGTCCTCTGCCCGGTAATTCTAGGCTGATGATGGAACAACAGGGCCGAATCCCGGATACCATACAGAGCTGCATCCGTCTCCTGCGTAACGTACTACCAAAAGCGACAATCAGTGTCGAAATTGAGAAGCCTGGTAGAGAGGGCCTCCCTGAGCTGGCGGCAGAAGCGGATGTTGTCTTCTATTCGCGAAGTTGGGCTGAGGTGAGAGTGGACTCATGGATATCGGCCGTTACAATTGTGGTGACCTAACAAGGGGGATAGAGTCGAGGACACAAGACTCCGGAACAATGCTTGAGAGCTGAAGGGCATCAAAAGGCGTACGTTTCATGGAAGGGATATCAGGCTTCTGCTTTGGCCCCATTGGCCCTTGCTGACAAGAAGCTGCATAGGTCACTTGCACTGTGTACGTGGGGTGAAGATGGAGCAGCTGGGCTGTCTCGGTCGACAGGCAAGAGTATTCGCTGCCCTGCCCTGGATGAACCAGGGCGAGACATTTCCGTGATAGAGTGAGTTGTCCCGCCCTGACAATACTTAAGACAGCAAAGCCTAGTACAAGCCGCATAAAACTGCAGGACCTGACCACTGTTCGAGATATAGTGCCGTGGGAGCGGGGGACACTTTCATAGCCGGAATGCTGTACGGACTGATCTGTCACCCTGACGACTGGAGCATGGGGAAGAAGCTGGGTTTCGCTGTTCGACTGGCTACGCTCAAAGTGCAGCGGGAGGGGTTCGACGGACTCGGAAGGGACATGCTGGGAACGGAGATTGGAGGCGTCTGAATGAAAAGCTGATTACGGGTAGCCATGGACATGACTGCCTGACGGTCTTATCCCGATAATACTATGGTTGCTTGACAATCCACACATTTAGCTCTTTAGGCAGACTTTCGGTGCAAGGGTCAGATGCCGGAATATCAAAGGGAATTACGAATAAAGAAGAAGGAAAATGCTAAACCGCTCATGGGCGGAGAAGGGAATGGCAAGAAACAGCAAAGCAGCTCGGCGAACCATGAGTCGCCTATGGCTTACAGCGGCTGATAATGCTCTCAATTCGGGTGATGAGAGATTAAGTGGGAAGAAGAGAGACGGTTGAGCCTAGGACTGGAAGGGACAGATAGTGGAGGAGAGAAGTGGAAGGGGGATAATTAGAAACAGGGGAGAAAGGCGGTGAAAACGGGGAATAGAAACATTGGGTTTGCTTTGATCTTTAACCGCATACGGAGAGTGTAGGTACATACGCACTCCCGCTATTGGTGAGGGCACGGATTGGTTAGTCCGGTATGGAGGCGTATGTACATAGGTAGGTTGGCATCAACTTGGACCTGTCCCGTCTCTCTCCCTCCTGATGCAAGTGGATGAGCAGGTGTTTTGTTGTCCTTGGCTAGGTAGTCATGGAAGGGCAAGGATGATGCTACTCTGCCTGCAAGACACAACCTTTGAACCACGCGGATGCGCCGGGGCTACTGCATGGAGACCACGATTAGTCTAGAAGCACTTCGTTAGTCTTGGTGCTCGTGTGAAGAAACTGTCTGGATACTGCAAGAACGAGGTGGAAGAGAACATCCTAAAGTTATCCATCTACCAGCTGATCTGCTCCGCATTAACAGAGCCTATAGCTCTGAAGCTCGTCATGCGAAAACATAAAGTGTTGTAATAATTGTTGCACGCCGAAGCCTAAGTCTTAGAATCAGTTCTGGAGAATCATGTCACAAGGGATGTTTAATTCCCAAGCTTTTGTTGAGGCGGTTGAGCGAAACCGATAGCTAGCTGTGGCTGCTAGTCGTGGGATGCCGGAAAACCTTAGAGCTAAATCACACGTGACATAAATACTCAAGCAGGCTAAGGATGATCCAGGACTAATTTAGGAGATTCCTAGACTATCTATTTTTGCACCCTCAGGGAATGAGGGGTATTGAGAATTTGCACGCCCCGAGGGAGGCATGGTTGCAGCACAGACTACGGTACCAGAGCCAGGGCGGCGGCCAACCGTCCGTCTGCAGCTAATGCTTACATTGTGCACTACGGAGTAGGCAGGATTCTAAAGGGCAAGCGAGCTGCGAGCCGCTCGACAGCGTCGTCATGCGGTGCAGAGTCTAAGGACCCAAAAGCCCCGAGACGCAGGCCCAAGACGATTTGCCGTAGCTTGCTATTTGGGCAGCTGGCTTGTTTAGCAATGGCACCAGGGACAGGGACAAGGTGTGAGACGTGTCAGATGAGACGGGAGGGCACGACAGAATAGGACGAAAGGAAACAGGAGCACACCAGCGACAGAGTCTAATGTGCCCAGTAGGACGACCATTCTACATAATTGCAGCACCAAACTCACAACAGTGCACACTCGAAGTACCATTGTTGTTGGTGGGGCATGCTTTCAACAAGGAGTGAGAACTGAGAACAACGATACAGGTATGAGGAGAACAACAGTACACGAATCTAAAAAGAGTACTATGTATATAATTAAGCCAATACCTCGATGACGATACCAGGTATCAGATACAACCGGACAATATCGGAGGATGGGATGCATCATAGATACCAGAAATTGAAGTCAAATACGGAGTACGGAGTATGTCGTTGATTATCACAACAAAGTCATGCAAGGTGGAGGTACGTACATGCAGCTCCCATGTTGCTTGTTGGCTGGCTCTCGTCAAAGTTAAGGGGATGTGATTCAAGGGCTGCCATCAAATAGGATACGGCATGAAAAAAGCTTCAGATCCATCAAACCTCATCGAGACAAACGAGTGCGTGACTGTGAGTGCGAGTGCTTGCTTGCTTTGCTTTGCTTTGCTTTGCTTTGCTTTGCGTTGCTTTGCTTTGCTTTGCTTTGCTTTGCTTTGCGTTGCTTTGCTTTGCTTTGCTTTGCTTTGCTTTGCGTTGCTTTGCTTTGCTTTGCTTTGCTTTGCTTTGCGTTGCTTTGCTTTGCTTTGCTTTGCTTTGCTTTGCGTTGCTTTGCTTTGCTTTGCTTTGCTTTGCTTTGCGTTGCTTTGCTTTGCTTTGCTTTGCTTTGCTTTGCGTTGCTTTGCTTTGCTTTGGAATGACGCCGGCCCGCTTTGAGCATGTCTCAAAACCCCTGCACTTCGATGAAAGCCAGAAACCCTCTCTGCCAGCACTAGACAAGGGGTGAACTGTGGATGTGAGTCTTCTGGCGGTGGAGGGTATATCCAATCTCATAGGCCCCCACACATACCCAATTGCAGCCATGATGGGCAATTGAGTGGTGTCGAATTAGTCCTAGGGGGTGTTGCCCGAATAAGCCGAGTGATGCGGACTTGACGGTCAGAGAGGGGCTTTACAACTTTCCGTTGGCCTGGCTGAACTCTGCTCTGACCCGCCATGAGCATCCCCCGATCGGTATGCAGTTCTCGGACGGAGGAGCGGGCGGCAGCTGGAGACGCCCCCGGCTTCCGGGCTCTATGGCTAGATGCTAGCACTACTTCGTACGCTGCAGGCGTTATAGACAAGCATGTATACATGTTTTGGGAGAATGCCATGCCGTGTTAGGGACTGGAGATCTTTTTGTGTCTCAGGCGAACACTAATGATGTGTTGGATGATTATTGAATTATTTTTCATCTATGATCGGCGATCAAGTCCAATGAATGGGACTCATCGAGAGTGCCTCTTGTCTGTACTCAATTATCGAAGGGATCCTTCTCTCACATGCTTCCTGCACAAACTATTGACTCTCGCCTTGCTTAATTGCAGAACTGAAAGGCTGAGAAGCCATGTATTCAAGACAAAGTGGTGGTATTTCTCTATTGGTGACATGGTTACGTGGTGGTGGTGGTCACGTCGATACATACATACATACACACAGTATTGAAACCGGTCTGAAAGTCAGGATTGAAAAGACCTGATGAGGGCTGCCTGATGCTGGTCTCTTTGAGTATCCAATCAAGACACCCAAATTGCATTAGTAAAATACCTAAATAAGCAACAGGCTTGTTCATGCATTCTCGGTACCATGGCTATCCAAAGTTGCGCCGCCAAGCTACCGACAAGACCCAAGACCAGGTCCGGCCAACTCGAGACTGATGCCGCATCTTACGGCGTGCCGCGAGCCATATCCCTTCCGCTTGGCGGTCGACCTCCGCAGAGCTCCACCATATTGCGTTTGGGCTGTTGTAAGTGACTGAATGGCGGTTGTCGTATGTATGTATATTGCTTCCTCGTCGCGGCCTGCAGCAAAGGTCTGAGACGCTGAACGTTCACTTATGATCGCGTATGGGCTTCACAGCGTTCCAAACAGTTCGTTGCCAAAGTCATACAACAATGATACAACATTGGAGTAACGAGTCATAAACAGGCAATCAATGTAATCAATCATTCTGCCCCCATCTTAACAAAGACACCTGCATGATCACAAACTCGCATGCATGCCGCCGCCGCCGGGGACTAATGCTGTGTGAGATGTTGCTCAATCAAGGCGACCGAGGCGGGCTGTCCATGGCTCTCTCTCAAGCGAATCCTTCTGGCAGCTGACTTACATGGCATGCATGGATGGATGGGAAAGTTGAGCCATGGGTGTCGAGAGGCCAAAGGCTGCAGGTTTCTCATCGAATGCAAGGGCTCTGATTTAATCCTCTTGAGTCAATCAAGCCTAAGCCCTTTATTGGCTCGACGCACACGAAATTGGATCTTGGAAGCGCAGTATTTACCCCCGGCACCAAACTGTGTGTACGTAGGTATACACCTAGGAGGGGGGGGGACTCAAGACCTTGATCCTAAATGACAAAAAGACTTAGGTAACTTAGCCTAAGATTAGGGGACTCTTCACTAAGTTTATTTTAGCACCCTCATCTAAAGTCTTGTGTTTTCTTACTCCCTGAGGCATACATACATACATACAGATTATACCAAACAGGTCAGACTTTTGTGCAGGGGCTGGTCGTTTCTAGCCTCAGACTCTCCGTTCTCCATTGATTGTTGTTTGTGATAGACCCATGGCAGCGGTTTTTAAAAGTGGCCCAGGGGCATGTTTATAGTCTAGCGTAAGGGCGGCGTATCCCAGTGTAGGGGTCCGATCATAATATTGGAAGCATCCTTCATCAATGGCTGTTGACAGTGATTGACGCCAGTTCTGTCCAACATGTTGAGGGATGTTGAAGCGTAGAGCACTCTGATTATTGCGTGGTCTTATGAGCGCATGCTCACATGCTCTCATGCTGGGTAATCGCTTCCGAAATGTACGTCTCCAGTTCACGAGGACTGTACTGTATTGTACGGTAAGCATGCAAACATCAGTTGAATGTTACATACCTTAGGTACCTAGCAAGCAGAGCGTAAGGCCAGACCAAGCATGTTGATCTTCGGCAACTGGACCGTGGCTCTGGCGAATTATTCTTTTTCGCTTCCTTGGCGATACCCAGGTGTCATGCTAAGGAATCCCTGATGAACGAACGGCCTTGAATCCTCCACTTACACACCCTTGCCTTTTTCTTTTTTCAAGCATCCACAATCTGTTTTGAGTTGGCATAGTGTGGCGGGTGTGGGTTGCCAGCTCTCAATGACAGCACGTCCTGTAAACGAGATCGCGTAGACTCAAAAGCCACAGGCAGCTTGTTCAAACCTGAGAGTTTCGGTGATGCAAGCCAATCGTTGCTCGTATATAGTCGATGGCTTGTTTTGGAGCCTGTGCAGCATGAAGAGCTGGACAAGTGAAGGAAAGCTTGCACGCTTCCTACAGCTGCCGAAAGCGTGTAGTCAAAAAGACTCAGAGAATTCTTATTGCAACAAAGATGTTCGCATCAAACGACATCTGACCCGAATAACGTTACTGTAAATGCATTGTGTCGAGGGGACTAGTGAGTCTTCTTGTCTGACATCGAATCCGTTGCTGATCGCAAAGCCAGTTGGCGTTCGGGCTACCGAATTACACAGCGACTCGGCTATGAAAGGGGATCCACTGGTACAGATTTGCTGAGAGGGGTGAATTCAGGAATAGGGACGTATGCCTAGTACGAGGGTAGCGAGGGAAAGTCAAACAAAGAAACCCAAAATTTCAGCCTCTCTCGTAGTACATTATGAGTTAGATGCAGGATCTTTGATTTGAGGCCGAACAGGGCAGAGTAGTTTGGGCCCCATCCATCTGGGGAGCACGTCTGGTGATTGATTGGACGGCCACAAGCAGATCTCCAGGGTGAGTATGATTCCAGTTTATTGTTTGTTTTTCACAATGACTGGATGAATGCGTGGTGAGTGCGTCCCAATGCAATGTAGAAGCTTGAACCAGGGATGGCATGAAAGCAATCATAACCTAACATCATGTACTGAATCATTTGTGTAATGTTGACAAGTTGCCTTGGGAACTTACAGTTGCAACCCTGTTGCTAAGAAATGATCGCCAATCTAGGCTATGGTGTTATGATGATTCAGTATAGTAGTTAGCTGTCGACCGCCAATCGTTTGTTGCGTGATAAAGGGCATTTGAATGACGCATATGTTGAAATCGTCCTCGTCAGCCGCGATAGCAAATGTGATCCCAGGCGTCCAGGATACATCCGCCGATGAGGCATGCTGGCATGGTTTTTAAGAAGAATGGTGTGGTGCTTTGCCAGGGGCTAGGCAGTCCAAGGCCAGTGATACTGCGCTGTGCTGAGATGGGATAGTTTATGCAAAAGTATGTACTGCACCGTATTAGAGGACTCTCACATGGTGGTGGCTGCGCTTCCGTGACTCGGGTAACGCACGAACCGTAAGGAGAAGTTTGATGAGTACTTGAATGTACTCCGTACTCTAGCTTGATGATCAGCACCAATGTCTTGTGGGACAGCGTTCCGCGTAGAAAGCTAGTGGCTTTCCTGCTGTTCTCAGTGAGATAAAACGCCTGGCAGGACAATCAATGCGTGATCCAGCCCAAAGCGTGTGATTCGAGGACAAGTCATGGACGTCCTTCAAATCCTTTCCTCTCTGTACGGGCATGTGACCCACAGAGAACTTCGGATACAAGTATACGTACTACCAATGGAACCCAGCTGCCAGCCAGGGCAGCTTGAAACCTCCAAGCCTCGATAAGCCCATGAAATCAAAGAACGGCAATTACCTGAATTCCCTAGCCTATGTCCAAGCTATGTACCAGGCCACCGGGCAGCGAAGTCAACGCTTAAAGCGATGGAGACTTGCCAATCCCCAAGGTATCGATCGAGGGCATCTGAACGAGAAAAGGAAGGAAAAAAGGAAGGAAAAAAAGAGATAAAAAATAAGGCCTAGTAGCTAGTCAAAACATTATTTTGCTGAATAAAAATTCCGAACTGACATGGAGATTTACTGCAAAGATATTGCAGCAACTGACATCTAGCAAATAACGGCAACAGTATATTTTGAAGGTCACAACCTCCGGATTTGTTGACCAATTTGGGAATCTTTTGTGTGAAGTATGGATTTATCTGACCATAATTGTTTGCCAAGATGCCGACGCGTTCTCATGCTATGGAGAACAGTTGTAATTTACATGCAAAATGGATCGACTCGTACACTACCTGAACAGCGCATTCATAGGCACCGGTGATAGACTCATTGGGTGTTCCGGCCACACACCCGAGTCTCGTATGTACAGTAGACTCACCGGGAGGGACATTAAGCCAGGCAAGCCAGGGTTACCTGAGGTTAGAAAAAAGGACGTCGAAAGATCCATCGAGGCGGCACGCCTTCATCTTACACCATGACACTTCGGGGGTGGCGCACAGTTCCAGCCCTTGTTGTTTCTGAATTGCCCTGATCGCCCACTGATTCAGTCACCAAACAAGGCCCAACTCGCCAGGCTCACCAACTGGAGGTCCGAGGCTGCTGATCCCTCTACTGCACAATTGGATCCTTCCAGAGGGGGCTAGTGAACTTACGGTTATGCCCAGATCTTTCAAGGGCGGAGGGAGAGATGCAAGCTTCGGAAGGCGAACAGGCGACGACTGCAAACGAGGAGAGGGGCGTCAGTATGCTGTGCTCCACAGGCACACAATTTGGTCACTTGGTGGTCATGGTCAGCGCAATGGAACTCTGAGGGTGGGGATAATCTCTTAAACAAAGAATCCCTAGCGACCAGCGCCAGCAAAAGTCTGGTTGACTGCGGTGTGAGCTTGATGAGCTGTGCATATCCCCCATAGATAGAGGGGCGATGAGATGAGACAATGGAGGTGACAGAGAAGGAGTAAAAGCCGAGACCGTCAGTGTGTAGCCATTGTTGCATCTTTCATTGGGCTAGGGACA